GCTATCAAGTAGATCTGAGTTCAAGCCCCCATCTTACTTTATGCTTGCATTGAGAATGAGAGCAAATGGCTTAACTTCTTGGAGCCTCAATTTGCTTTCCCATAAAGTGAGCACATGAGTAGACATCCAGGTATTTACTATCACCTCCATGATTCCACATCGTAAGGATCAGTTCACTTATCTGGCCTCCCTTCTGCCATGCTGGGGTCAGGCGCTCTTCAACCTGCCTCTGCTTCCTGAGGCCTGGCAGACAGTGGGAACTTTCCATGTTCATCTCACTGTCTCCAAGTGAAAAGTGATATGTGTCATGCAGCAGAGAGCCACTCCAAGTGACCAAAGGCTACTACTGTCCAATTCCCAGAGACTCTGACCAAGCAAGCTATGGTCCAGGGTGGGAGTGTGGAGCTGAGAAGTGCCCCCTCTTTGGTGAGCAGTCACTGCAAGGTCCTCTTTGGTGTCTCATTCTACTCATGCCTCTCTGAGTGCATGGCCCAGCATAGGGAGGTGACCAGCATGCCAGTCCTTTGCCATGTCTGTTCTTTGGGAAGACACCTCTTTTCTCCTGAGGGCTCCAGCCTGTCTTGCATCACAGTCAGTTACCTGGGGAGATGTAGGCAGGTGGCGGGAGGTTGACTGTTATGATAATCAAATTAGAAAATAAAAGGACAGTGCCTGTAGCAAGTGTTTAGTAAATATCTATCATTATTATCATCATGGTATTTAGGATACTGAGTTCTTTGGGGCTGGGTATTGTCCACTGCTTCTCCACTCACAGTACACTGCCTGCACATGGTAAATTCTGAGTTCACTAGCAAATAAATGAATTCATATGTTTCTTAGCAAATGAATGAATGAATTCAGGCCTGACTTTACCCAGGTACTGACTGCCTGACCACCCTAATCTTGTCCTATAATTAGGAGTTTGGGCCTGCCTCAGTGTGTGGGTGAGGCAGTCTGTTTCAGCCCACATGTGTCCCTGGGCATCAAACTCCATGGAATAGAAAGATGGGGGCAGAAAATCAATATCTACAAGCAGGAAAAACAGAAGGTTACTTGCATTCTCATATTCTAATATCTTGAATCCTTAATCAAACCTATAATCTAAAATGCAAAAGAGGGCTCAGGGAACACAAAGACTGCTTCATGCTAAATAGAAGCTTGGGCCCTGGTTGAAATGCTTTGTAGTTTTGTTCTATGAAGTCAGGAAAAGAGAATGAGGTAGAGGAAACAGCAACAACAATATCTAGCTACCATCAGTTGAGTATATCCAATGTGCTATGTACTGTGCACACCATTGAATCTTTATGACCTTAGCAGTGGGCGTGATTCTCATATTCAGGGGGAAACTGAGGCTCCAAGAGGTGAAGTGACACGCCTTTGGTCATAAAGTGGGTAAATGGTGGAGCCAGACAAAGCCAGCTCAACTGATTTGCAAAATCTCTCTCTTCCCCTCCATCCCAAGCTGTCTCTGGTCCCATTGGTTACTCCCTTCCCTCTGCTCACACATTGTCTTTGTTCATGAAGTGTTACTATAACAGAATACCTGAGACTGGGTAATTTATAAGGAACAGAGATTTATTTCTTACAGTTCTGGAGAATGGGATGTCTAAGATTGAGGGGCTGTATCTAGCAAGGACCTTCATGCTGTGTCATTCAATGGTGGAAGGTGGAAGGGCAAGAGAGAGTGAGAGAACAAGAGATTAAACTTGCAGCCTCGAGCCAGACCTTTTATAATTGGCATTAATTCATTAATGAGAGTGGAGCCCTCATTAAACACTTCCCATTAGGCCCCACCTCCCAACACTGTTGCATTGGGGATCAAGTTTCTGACACATCAACTTTGGGGTACACATTCAACCTGTAGCACCCATCTGTTAGAAATCTTGGGCCAGGTGGGGTGGCTCATACCTGTAATCCCAGCACTTTGGGAGGCTGAGGCAGAGGGATCACCTGAGGTCGGGAATTTGAGATCAACCTGGCCAACATGGCAAAACCCCATCTCTACTAAAAATACAAAAATTAATCAGACGTGGTGGTGTGTGCCTGTTGTCCCAGCTACTTGGGGGGCTGAAGCAGAAGAATCACTTGAACCTGGAAGGTAGAGGTTGTAGCAAGCCAAGATTGTGCCACTGCATTCCAGCCTGGGTGACAGAGAGAGCCTCTGTCTAAAAAATGTAAAAATAAAAAAATCTTAGCTCATATCCTTTCAAAGAGCAACTCTAGCAAATTCTACACAGCCCTTCCGCTCTTGTACCTAATTGGTTGGTTTTTGGAAAATGGAATGACCCCTGAGAAACCAAGGTGGACTCTCAGTAAGAGCTTGAGCCTGGGAAGTTAAGAGACCTTTTTGAAATTGGATTGCAACCAGACGAGCCCATGTGACCCACAGGAGAGGACTTGGAGGAGGGCTAGTGGTAGTGTCAGTGACATCAGGACCCCTCACACATGCTGGGACTTTGCACATGCTGTTCCCACTGCCTGGAATCCCCTCCCCTCTCACCTCATTATTCTGAGGTCACAGCCTCACCTTCTCACTCCGGCCTCTCCTTGTTGCCCCCACACCCATTCTCCTCCCCTGCCTAGTTTCCTTCCATACATATTACTTGATACTTTCTAGGGAATCATATATTTTCCTTTATTTCTTTGATCATTGCGTATATGGACCATAGTTCACTCACTTGGCTTTTACTGATGGCCATTTATGTTTTTGGTCTTTGGCCAGAAGGAGCATCCTTACGCATACATCTTTGTCCACTGTGCAGTGACTTCCTTAGGATAAAAAAGTTCCTGGTGATGGAATTGCTGAACCAAAGATATGCAGTATCTTTCTGATGTGGTACCTTATGACTTAATATCTACTGTTCAATCCAGAGGAGGCTTGTTGAAGTGAGTTTTTGTATGGACTTTGACTAACCATGTTTGACTTGCTCCCTTGTTAAGAAGAAGTGTGGCCTGAGCCTAGTGCCATGGTGGTCAATTGGAGCAATAGGCACAAATCTTCACTCCTCCTTGCAACCACATTCTTTACCATGTCATTTTGCAGAGCCCTTCAACACTAACCACATGACATGCTTTGGGCAACAAGATGTCAGCTTATGGGATACACAAGCTTCGAATATGCTTTTTTGGATGGGCTTTCTTTCTCCTGCCCCTTGCCATCACGGCAAGACGTACATACGCAGGCTAGCCTGGAGGATGAGAGATATATGGAGCAAACTGAGATGCCAGAATCGTTCCAACTGAGGCCAGTCTCAATCAGCCAACAACCATCCAAGCCCTGGACATGTGAGTGATCCCCCGTAAGAGCAGCAGAACCACCTAGCTGAGCACCCTAAATGCACAAGCAATACAAACTTATTGCTGTATGCTGCTGAGGTTTTGTGGGTTTTTTTTTTTTTTTTAATGCAGCATCGGTCAATTAGTGTAAGTCAATAGATAACTAATGCACAAGGCATGACCGTGAAACCAGTTTTCTCACTGCTCTGCCAATAGTAGGGGCTTTTGCAGTCAGGTCTGCAGGCCTGGACATATTCTAAAATAACTCCATTGGTATGTACATTTACAAAAATTTTGATTCTGCTCATCAGCTGGGGGACTTGCTACTGCTTCTTGGAAGAGGCAGAGCCCAAAGTAAGATTTTGAAGGAGAGGGGAGGTCAGAGGACCTTGAAGGTTATGCAAAATGATGAATGACGTCAGGCCCATGACCACTGAGTTGTGTTCTAAGCTCCTTGCCATCCACGCTTACCCTGCATGGTTAGAGATTTCTGATGAGAGAAAGCAAGGGAAGTCATCTACAAAGGCAAGTGTTAACCTTGAAATAAACTTGCATGGGAATTTACTGTGTTAGTTACTGGCATGAAGGACACAAAATAACAAAGGGCAAATTTATCAACCACAGTTTTGCAAAAAGCCATGCAGTGGTGTGGTTAAGAGACCTGGTTAGGGCATCAGAATGTCTTGGCATGAATTCCAGGTCTGCTACTAATTTTTTGTGACTAAGGACTGATGCTATAACCTCTCTGGATCTCCTTTCCTTGAATGCACAGCAGGGATAAAGGCACCTGCCTTGTGAGTGCTCTGCTACAGACGTAGATTCCTTCCTTGGGATGCTTTGCTCTGCTCTTCTTGGCTTGTTGTGCTTCCTGGGATCTCCCTGGAAAATATATTTTGTGCTGGGTGTCCCCTTTTTATAAATGCTCCCATGGGGAAAGTTCTGATTCATCCACTCCAGTTAAATGGGTGAGACTCAGAGGAATCAGGTGGGGAAGCTGGCTTTGGGGAAGCCTCACACTCTTCATTATCCAACAACAACAATAATAATAGCTACCACGATTTGAGCACTTACTTGGATTATCATAGCAGCCCTGAGGGAGAACTTGTCACGATTACTCCTATGTTACAGGTGAGAATTTGAGCCTTGGAGAGTTGAGTCATCTGCTCAAAGTCACACAGCCAGTAGTGCAACTCAGGTCTGTCTGAGCCTGAGAGGTTTTATCCAAGACATATACCAATATAGCATAGATCTAGTTAGAAATGTAGTTGCCCTTGGAATAAGAACAAACATACCTCCCAAGCAAATCTCACCCAGAGCTCAAAACATAAGATAAGAGATTTGAGCACATCTTAGTGCTCTTTCTTCTAGGCTCATTTCTTTCCCCTCTAGAAGCCTTTGGCCTTGATGTTGCTTCCATGGGCAGTTAGAATAGGCTAAGCTATTCTGCCGTAACAAAATAATTCCTGAATTTCAGTGACTTCCGACAATTTTTATTTCTCACTTATGCTACTTGCTCCCCATGAGGCAGCTGAGATGTTGCAAAGCACTGGCCTCACTCAGAATTAGCACCAGCTCTGTAATTTGCAGAGCTCAGTGCACAATGCAAATGCAGGACTCCTTGTTCAAATATTGCTAAGAATTTGAAGATGGCGACAACACAGCAATAAACCAAGTGCGGGGTCCCTTTAACTGTGGGACCCTGTATGACTGCATGGGTTGCTCACCTGTGAAGCTGGCTCTGCTGAGGGGTCCAGATTGATAGAGGCGTCATGATTTGGGGCTTTGCTGTCATCAGAGCAGAGGGCTTGGGAGCCCAGCAAATCACTCACTGGCTCTTAAAGTTCTCCTGGAGGGGATACTCATCACTTCCTCTTGCTTATGTTCATACTCTCCACTTCTGTTCCAAATGGAGGGAGGAGAAATGGGATATTTGTACACAGACCTCAATGGCCACTGACCTCCTGCATCTACCTCCCACTGAGACCTCCCTTTCTTGCCAGTGTTCTCACCCTTGACCTAGCCATCTTCATTATGAATGTGCATGGTCATCTACCTGCAATTCAGGTTATGATGCTTGCCCCCAAATTTATTTTCTAGACAGTAACCTAAGGGCTCTCTAAAAAGCACCATTCCTCTTTTTCAAACCCTCCAATGACTTCCAGTTGTGGACTGAATGGTGTCTCCCCACTCCAAAGAATATATTAAAGTCCTAATCTCTGGAGCCTGTGACTGTGATCTTATTTGGAAATAGGGTCTTTGCAGATGTCATTAAGCTGTACATTATGATGGGGATACTACTGGAGTTGGGTAGACCCTTAATCCAATAGGACAAGTGTCCTTAGAGAGAGGACAAGGAAACTATAATGGACACACAGGAAGAGAATGCTATGCGGTGACAGAAACGGGGACTGGAATGACATGCCTGTGAGGTAAGGAACACTGACGAGTGTTAGCAACTCTGGGAGCCAGGAGAGAGGCCTGGAAAAAATTAACTCTTTTTCTCTTTTTTTTTTTTTTTTTTGTTGAGATGGAGTCTCGCTCTGTCACCAGGCTGGAGTGCAGTGGTGCCATCTCGGCTCACCACAACCTCCACCTCCCGGATTCAAGCGATTCTCCTGCCTCAGCCTCCCAAGTAGCTAGGACGACAAGCGCACGCCACCAGGCCCAGCTGAAAAGATTAACTCCTAGAGCCGTCAGAGGGAGCATGGCCTTGCTGACACCTGGATTTCAGACTTCTGGCTTTCAGAACTGTGAGAAAGTGAATTCTTATTGCTGAAAGCCACACAGTTTGTCACAATTGGTCACAGCAGCCCTAGGGCACTAATACACTGCCCGTCACCCTAAGAATAAAATCTTAATGTCTCCCCTCACTTGACCTATAAGTCCCTGCATGGCCTGAGTTCTACCTACCTCTCAACCTTATTGCAAACCACACTCCACTATGCCACTGTACTTCAATGACACTGGCCTCCTTTCTGCCTTCAGACTTTTGTTCTTGCCATTCCGTCTGCCCGAGTGCCCTTTCACCGCAGCAAGATTGGGTTGTTCTCATTCATCAAGTCTCCACTAAAATGATCTCTTCATGAGAGGCTATTTCTGGGGCCCTGTGTAAAGTAGCTCCTTCTGTCTCCACATTGTCCTTGAACTAGCCTTTCACTATCTTTGATCAAAGATCCCTCGTGATTTTCTTCCTCACATTTTTCACTATTAGTGATGATTTTCTTGATCTATGCATGTGTTGTCTGCCTTCTCTACCGAAACATAAGCTCCATTGCCAATGTGGACAATAAACTATAAGGTGGGCCCCATGATCTCCACTTCCCAGTACTCATACACTCTTTTGTGACACTTTCCTTGAGTGTCTTGCCTCTATCCAGTGCTACAAAGGGGATAGGAAGTCACGTCTATGATTATACTGTATAAAACTCTAATGCCTATTTTGCTAATATGCTAATACATTCTCTCCCTTGCTAGCTTGGATGGCGCCAGTGGCCATGTTGTAAGCCAACCTATGGAGAGACCCCCAGGGTAAGGAACTGGAAACAGCCTCTAGCCAACAGCCAATGAAAAACAGAAGCCTTCAGTACTCAGTGTTAATGGAACAGAATTCTGCCAACAACACATGAGTTTGGAAGTGGCTCCTTCCCCAGTCAACCTTGCAGATGAGACTGCAGCCCCAGACAACACTGTGATTGCAGTCTCATGAGAGATCCTGAGCAGAGGATCTTGCAAAGCCTGGATTCCTGAGCCACAGAAAACATGAGATAATAAGTGTTTGTTTTTCTCGACTACAAAGTTTGTGGTGACTTGCTATACAACAGTAAATAACAAATACAGTCAATGATCTACTCTGTCTTGTTTGCTCCTCTGACTCAAAGCCTGGCATAGTGTCTGTCTTATAGCATGTGCATAGTTAACATGCACTGGTTGATTGAATGTGTGGTGCTCATCAACATGGCACTGTATCATGTTGCCAAAGTGTGTGTACGTATGTATTGTGTGCATGTGTGTGTGTAATAGATACTATCATATACATATTAATATTCAGGGTAGATATATATAGTAGATAGTGTATTATAGATAATATAATGTATGTATACACACACATGCACACATACACAGAGTAGAAAATTAGACTTTCCAATGGTGATGAAAGATAGCCAGCACTAGACCTGACATCATGGGTTAGGGATTTTTGCCACAATCTTCCTCCTTGTCTTTCACCTTTTTTTTTCTTAACACTTATAAAGAAATAGGTTGAATTGTACCATTACTAGGGTCTCCTGCAGTTTTGCTTTCTATTCCAGTCTTTGGAGGAAGGTCATGAAAATGCTTACTTTTTCATGTTATTTTTTTTTCTGGCCTGCTCTCAAAAAATATAAGACTCTTTGAGTTAATATAATAAAATTAGAAAGAGATTGAGAGAAATCAAAAGAGATGGGGAGAGAGAGAGAGAGAGAGCGAGAGAGAGAGAAATTGAGAGAACCAAGCAAGGCAACTCCTCCTGGCTGAAGTCTAGCGAGATGCTTATTTAATATTACAAGGAGGGTGAACAATTATGACATTCTCTCCTTGTGCCTGCAGACTCCATCTCGGAGACTAATAGATATTTACTTAGTCCTGTCGGTCGTGCTGTGTTTAATATTTATCCATCACAGGAAGCTGCTGCATGTTAAATGTCAGCCTCTTGATTTCGACAGCTCGTGGCTACGCAGCTCACAGCTACGAGCAGGCAGAATTGCACAAACAGCCCCAGCGGCCCCTGGTCTCAAACCTGGCTGGCTTCCTGACAAACCCATGCCCAGTGTCTGTGCAGTGCCCAGGACTGGCCACTTGGTGGGTCCTACAATCTCTGAGGGGTCCGACCCAAGGTCCTTGAGCTTTGGGGTGTCAGTCAATGCCAAGGACAGCAGGGCTGTGGCAGCGGGAGGGGACTTACCTTTAGCAGCTGACACGTGCACCAGGGACCCTGCCAGCTTCTGACCTCCACTCTCTCCTTACGTCTTCAGCACAGATATGCTCTACATTGTTCACTTGTCCCTTCAGATCCTTTTTGCACCCTGCTACCTTCGGCTATGCACCCCAGGAAGCTGACTTCAGTGGGCTGCATCCAGTTGTGGGGGTCTCCCTAGGCAGCTTCTGGCTGAATTCAGCCAATAGAGAATCCCAGAAGGAGCTCTGCGGGTGGGACAAGAGAGAGATGAAGGCATTTATTTCCCCACATTCTTCCCTGCAGAGTTGCTGTGGGCTGGCTTCTTCACTTGCCTGAAGGCGTCAGCTTCCCCTGCCAGGCAGCCCTTCCCTCAATCTCATTCTCCTTCTGTCTCTCTCTCTTTCCAGGTAATCCCACCCTACTCCACTCTTTCAGGCCTGAGAGTGCAAACAGTTCCCCACTGTTACTAACCCTTTGGTGCTGTTCCTTATCACCCCTAATGGCTTCTCTATACCCTGCTCCGTCTTAATGACCAGCCCCTGGATCAAATGGTCCCAATTTGAAATATGCCATCTCTCTCCTGCGGGAATTCTCTCTATACATCCCTAAGAGGCAGTTATTGCTTGTTACATTTTACAGAAGACAAAACTGAGTCTCAAAAAACTTGGGTGGAGTTTATGACCTTGCATGAGATCATAAAGAAGTTACGGGCACAGCGGGGGTCTTTGGATCACCTGTTTGGTCAACTTTGCGTGACACCATCTAATCTACTGGCCACAGGTAGTGGCCCCAGCTTGGTTTTTCTCAAATGCAAATGTGGCAATGCATATTTTGTTTGAAACTTCATTACTGTTCCTTCATCTGAATGATGCCTTCTGACAACATTGGAATAGAGTCCCAGCCACCTCTTTGGCCACTGTCCACACACACACACACACACAATGTGTAATCTGCCCCCAATCAGGGTAACCTGTGCCGAAGCAGCTGTTTCTTCTGCAAGCCTCCAGGGATCAGCATTGGGATGTTTCATAAGTTTAAGGTCTGGACTTAATAGCTATGAAAGTGAGTGAGCTCCCCATACTTGAAGGTATGCAAACAAAACAGATCAAGCATCTTTCTGTCAGGGAGGCTGGAGAGAAGATTCATACAAGAGGTGCTGGTGGAGGGGGAATGAGATGATTCTGAACTGCTCATCATCAGGTCATGACAGGGAGAGAATATTGAAAATGCAGGTTCCGGGGTCACACCCTTAAAGATTCTTATTCCACAGGTAGGTGTGAAGTTCAGACACCTACATTTTATACAAAAATGCCCCCAAGGTATTAACTGTAGATGTTCCATAACATCTGAGGTCCCTCCTAGCTCAGTAATCAGCCAACCCCAAGCCCATTCCTTCAGGGTGAAGGTTGTCATGTCAGTCACAGAGCCAGGCAACACACACTCTGCCCAGTTAGCTGAACTGGGGTAGACGGGGCAACAAGGTAGAGTCCTGGGTTCTAGTCCTACTTGGGACACCAAGCCTTGCCCCAGGACCAAGGGGGGAAGACATGGGCACAGGTGGGGGCCACCAGGGCTGATCTTCTGTTGTTTTGAACAGTGTAACAGGAAGATGTAAGTTCAAATCCACACTCCAGAGCTGTGTGACCCGGAGGTAAGTTATTTCAATATCCAACTCTCTCCTCACCTGTAAAGTTGGTAAAATAGTACACAGGCCTACCATCCCTCATCCACATCTTTTAGGGCCAGGTCTTTTTCAGATTTCAGAGAGGTCTCACCACCAGCGGCTGGGGCAGTGTCAGTCTTTCTGCAACAGATTGTGCTGGCTCCCAGTCCAAGGGTTCACAAAGATTCCAGAGTACCTCTTGTCAGGTGAAGTCAGGGTTTGCAGTCAAATGCATTCCCAAAATACTTGAAGTTTTCAGAGCTTTTTGGATTATAGAATTGAGAATGATGGATTGAATCTACCTAAGAAAGTTTCCTGTGAGGATTAAAATAATCCTGTATATGAAGTGCTGGGCATATGTCAACTACTCGATAAATGTTAGCTGATTATTATCATCATTAGCAGTGGTGCTTCAAGTAGTAAAATGCTTAGTACAAATGCTTTATGTATAGTAAATGCTGGTTAAATTAAGTTTTCTGTAATTATTATTACAAGTTTCCACCAGTGCCCAATTTTGCATGCTCCCCATTGCTTCTTCAACGACTAATAATAAAGGCAGAAGAGCTGCTGGTCCCAGAGATGTGAGTGTCGAAGGAGCAGTGCCTGTGGTCTGGGGGATCTTTCTGATCTCTGCCGAGCTCACTTCCTCCAATCGCATGCTAGACCTAGCTAGTCCCCTTCCACTCCCCATTCAGTTCAGCGAGGTCCTTCTGTTTGGTAAACTGGATATTAAAAACAAATGTACCTAATTAGAAATAAAATGTTCCCAACCAGCTCGAAATAAAATAAAATGTAATTACTAATGATATTTAAATGTTGTAGATATTTTATTTTTTTAAAATTCCCTTAATTTAAAATGAAGTATGACTTTAATTTAGTCGAGAATACATTAAGCGTAGAGGAAAGTGGTCTGGCTTTTGCCGAAGGTCTTCTTCTACTGCCTAAGAAGGAAGATGAGGGTTTCCTAAAGCATCCTTGGCCAGGGAAATTGGCATGAAGGTTTTTATGTGTGTTTGTGTGGGGGGGTGGGGGGGTGGGGGGGTTGGGGTGGGGGTGGTTAGTGTCTTCCACGGAGCCCTGAATTTTCTATAGGGATTATAGACCTGTTCCTTGGATAGGAGACAAAGTTCTTACAGAGATTTTTATAGATCAAGGTGTGTGTCTTGTCTCTGTCTTTAACACACGATTTGGGCAGCTCCCTGCACTTCTTCGTGCCTCAGTTTCTCCTATGAAAGGCAGCATGCTAACCTCTACTTGGGAAAAGTTTAATGAGGTTACATGATGTAAATATCTCTGGACTATAGGCAACACTTTTGATAAGAGAGCAAATGTTACCAAAACGCTTGTGCTATCACTTTCTCTGCAAACTTCATGAAGACAGACCATGCTGATTTTTTCTTTTTTTGTGTGTGTGTCTCCATATTTAACCCAGTGCCAGGTGCCTAGTAAATGCTCAATAATTGCATGAATAAATCTATAGATGAATGACTGACCATGTATAGGGTGTTAAGGTTGGGAGAAGTAATACAGAACATCTAGTATATCCCAACTGAACATTTGAAGCCCGTGTATATACAGTGATTGACTACTTTCTGCTTGTTTGCCTCCAGGGATGGGGAGCTCTCTACCACATGCCCACAGCCAATTTCAGCTTTGAAGAGTTCTGGCCCTGGAGAGTATTCGTTACACTGGTCCCTTCTATGTTCTATACATTGTGCCTCTCTCTGTCCTCGGGGGCCACAGGATGGAGCCCCAGGACAGTGATTAATAGACTTTTGTCATTTCATAAAAGACTTGTTCATCAACTGGGATGTCAGGGCCATATGATGGTGGTTGCAATGTGAGCCCTGGAGCAGGCTGTCACAATTCAAACCCGGGCCCTGCCAGTCACCAGTTATGTGATAGAGGAGAATCTCCAGGGAGGCCTTAGGCAGGTTACCTGGCCTCTCTGAGCCTCAGTCTCCTCATCCGTAACTGGGTGGTCAAGAGAGATTCAGTCTCTGCTCATGGTGTAACCAAATCCCACAGACTGTTGTAAGCGGGTGTTGTTGAGAGCTTTTGATGGTTAACTGAGGGAGCTGGTCCACAGTGGGGTGGCAACCAAAGAAGCTGGCCCCCCACATCTTCACTTCCAGCAGAGCAGCCCTGCAAAGTTCTCCTCCTGCTATGGAGTGTTCCAGACCCCACACCCTCTCAGCCAACCTGCTCCTGACCTGCCCTGGGCCTGTGAGTTTCATAAGGGAGATGGTCCCTCCAAAGCCAGTTTGTCTGAGTTCATCACAGAATAAACAGGTTCCACTGAGTTAAATCACTGTTTTGTTTTGTTAGTGGGGAGGGGTCGCTCCTGCTAAGCCACACTCATCTCTCGCTTGGACTGTTGCAGTAGCCACTTCTGTCCTTGCCTGACTGCGGTTTGTTTTCCCCTCATCAACCTGCTGGGTCTTGTTATAATGTGGATCTTGCACAAAACCCTTGGATGGTGAACATCCCAAGGCATTTCTCAGTCCTCCAGGGTCCTATGTGATCTGGAGACCTCATTGTCTTCACCTCCTAGCACCTTCCCTCTCTCCTCATGCCCACCCTACTCCAGTGCCACTGGCCTCCTGCTGTTCCTTGCTTGTGCCAAGCACCTCTGTCCTGCCTCAGGGCCTTTGCACCTGCTGTGCCTATAGCCTGGGATGCTCTTCTTGGTTCTGCACATGGTTTTCTCCTTCACTCAGGTCTTGGCTTAAATACCCCACTTCATGGAGCGTGTCCCTGAACTCCTCTTGACTAAAAACTGGCACATATTGGTCACTTCCTGCTTTCATCTTGCTTGATTGGCCTCTCACAGTATATTATCTTTCTATTATTTCTTGTTTGTCCTCTCCCCATGACAGGCTGCAATTCTCATGACTCCTGAGTTGAAGCAGGTCACAGAGAGAGAATACTCTGTGCTTGGAACCACAGGCTCTATCTCTGGTACGTCCTTGCTCTGTGTCCTTGGAGAAGTTACCTGGCCTCTCTGAGCCTCAGTTTCCTCATCTGTGAAATATAGATGTGCAAATCTCTTAGGGCTGGATCAAGATTAGTCTTGATGCATGCCAAGTCCCTGGCACGAAGTAAGGATTCCATAGATGTGAGCCACTCTTCTCATCCCTTGCTTGAGTGGGTAGAGGTGACAGTCCAGCTAACTCAGGTTTGGTGTCTAACAAAACACTGACTCCCAGCAATGGGCTTCCCTTGCAGCCCATTGGCCTACCTGGGTCCTAGTAGGTACTCAAAAAACATGTGTTGGAGGAATGATGGGACTGTCTAAAAATACCAATGGATCTACCCCATACGAGGGTCTCAATACAACTTTGCTTTGAGGTACACAGGAGTCCCTGAGAACTAAAAAGGGGTAGCTTCAAGACGAAACAGTTTGGAATTGATTGCTGTGGTTGCATCCCTGACATCATCGTTATTTTTCCGAGCAAATTTCCTTATTTTTTTTCTTGAGGTTGACAAAGTGGGAATGGCTTTTCTTTACCGGATCATGAAAGTCCTGCATTGTAATTGTGGAATGGTCAGTTAACATGACATGTGTAAAAAAGTAGAAAACAAAAATATCCTGCCACTTAGAGAAAGCCACCAGAATGCTTTGACATAAGCTTCTCTAAGTCCTGTTTTTAT